AGAGCCCCCCTTTATTTCAGAGTCCCCCCCTTAACAGCACAAGCCCCTCTTTACATTAAAAGCATCACAAGCTTTCACATCAGGAGCCCTCTTTACATCAGAGTTCCCCCATCACATCAGAAGCCAGCCTGCACTATGGTAAGGCATGACACTGTGCAAAGGTTTCGAGGCGCCCCTGAGGAAGGCAGAAGGCACCCTGGTTGGGAAAGGTTGGTCTAGGGAATGGAGTAAAGAAGATACACTTACCCGATCCTCAGTCCTGTGGCAGTGACCTCTCACCTCTCTCCCCCTCCGCTCCAGCAGTGGTATGTCCCTCTGTCCTCATATCTAATGCAAGTGTATGGACCGTGCTTGGATGTGATGACATCAGCAGGGCTGCGACCGCCAAAGCCCAGGGGAGAAGATGCAGGGACCAGTCTAGCAGCCAGGTGGGATTGAAGATCAGGTAAGTACATTTTCTATATTTAATTCCATAGAACAAAATGAGCATTTAACCCTTGCAGTGCAGGGGTAGCCCACTTTTGAAAATCCTGCAGTTCCCCATTAAGCTTTGAAAATGAAAGATAGAAGCTGCTTGTCTTTTCTCTTCAGTTTGTTCAGTTAAGCTTTGAAAATGAAAGAGAGAAGCCGATCGGTTACTATGGGCAACTGCTCCAGATTCTGTCTGCTCCACTTCTGATGAATTCCCCCCTCTATGTCTTTCTACCCCTGTTAAATTAGCTTTTATTTGTTTCAAATACTACATTTAATGATAAACTTGAATCAATTAAAACCAAAAAGACAAAAAAACTACCCTTGAGAGCCCATTCACACCAAAACCACACCAAAAACCGCATATAAAACACAGGTGCGTGCGTGTGTTTGCGTGTATTTGTTTTTGCATTTAAAGGAGTTGCAGGGCATTTACATCCGTTTACATATCTTTATGTGCAGCTTGCCCTACTTGTTACAAACGCAACACACCGGTGTGTGCTACACCAATGAACACCACTATATTTGTGTATATGCGTTTTGAATGCGTTGAAAAGGCATCAAAATGCTTTGGGTTGGAATGGGACCTAACTGCAGTTTTTTTGCCTAGGGGTAGAGGGAGAAGGTGTAGGGCTAGTTCACACCACGAACAGTGCGTTCCGGCCCGATTCGGCGCCGGAATGCACTGGATCGCACCCCGACTAGCTCCCTGCATTCAGGGGAGGGAGGGGGTGTGGCGGTGCATTGAAGTCAATGGCACCACATCCACGCCCCCGACCGCAGTGCGATCGCCCGCACCCGAATGCGTGCCATATCAATGCCTGTGTTCCGGTGTGGTCAGAAAAAATTGTGCATGCAGCATTGATGTGCCACACGTTCGGGTGCGGGCGATCGCACTGCGGTCGGGGCTCATGGCTGTGGTGCCATTGACTTTAATGCACCGACACGCACCCTCCCACCCCTGAATGCAGGGAGCCGGCCGTGATGCAATCCAGTGCGTTCTGGCACCAAATGAGGACGGAAATGCACTGCTTGTGGTGTGAACTAGCCCTAATACTTACCTTATTCTTTGCTCAGGCAGAATCCTCCCAACACTATGCAGCTGAACCCCGAGACCTCTTCTCCAAGGCACTTCCTGCCGGAGGTCGCACATTGGTGTCATCATGTACAATGAAGTGTCTTCCTTTACCTCAGTGTATTAGGCCTCATTCACATGGACGTGTAGAGACGTACAGTGCACAATAGCTGTACACTAGTCACCCCAGTTTATCTGTGCCCTGGGCAGGGCCATCCCTACCTTTCACACCGCCTGAGACCATTGAGCGAGGACGGGGGGCATGGGTGCTGCTGCTGTTTGTCTTGTCCAGAGCGGGGGCCGTTGCTCCTACTGGTTGTCTGCTGGTCGCGGAGGGAGGGTTGTGCTGCTACTGGTCATCTATAGGGCGCCCCACTCAGCTCCCTGGGAACCAATGACGTCAGTAAGCTCTTAGCCGCTCTCTCACTTGCCACCCCCCAAATGAGATGTCGCCTGAGTCTGCCTCATTAAAGCGACAGACCTGGTGCTTGGTAACCAGTTTCCTCAATACCCTTCACTGGCTCTACAGGGCGCACATAAGTTATGTAAGGAGTCCTGCAGAATATATCAGATGAATATCAGTATTTGCATATTGTCTAGTCTTTTATCCAGTCAGAAGGTGCAGTTCTAGGCCCTTATTCAGTTACAGTGCAGTTAATGGTAGTTGTAGTGTTGCCAGGGGGGGATGAATGAGCCCTTCGTGCCCCCCCCTCCCCCCCACATGGAAATGCAGCGACCATTTTGTTCTCCTTTCTCCCCCCTTTCGTCTGCTGCTTTTCCCGCCCTTCCTTGCTCTCTCCCGACAGGATTGGTCATCACAATATCCAGGCAGACTTACCTTATTTTAGGCGGGAAAAGTTTCTTTCCAATTGGAGAAATGTTTGTTTTATTACAACAAAATAAAGTTTTGTTTGGTTTTGAATGTCGCTTGCTTTTCCATGTAAAATACAGGTCATGTACAGAGGTTGGAGCTACATGGAAAACGGATAACTATTGGTGGGCTGTCTCTTTAGCTGACCCATAGTGCTCTCGGAAATGCCTAAATGTAAAAAAAAAGACTATACACAACATATACAGTCAAATCGATATAAAACCTCAGCTTAAAAACGTCAAAACCTAGGAAAAAAAAATGACAATTGTTGTGCTGAAAGTCTTTAAAATGGAAGGAAAGCTTCGACAAACAAATTTCTAATTGGCAGGCTTTATATGGCAGAAAAGACTGTGTAAGTTTTCTGCCGTAAAACCTTCTTTCTAGGTGTCGGCATTTTTTTTTTCTGTACGCTGAGCCACGCATGTTCAGCTCAGCGTACAGACCCGGCATGCCGAGATGAAGTAACTTGCAATGGGAGTTACATCACCGGGGCCCAACCTATCAAGCGGCTAAAGACTCAGAACCCGGAAGAGGACCGAGTCGAAAATGGAATCTCCGGGGAGGAGGAGATGATTGGTTTTGCAGGTAAGTCTGCCATAATGTGCTAATGTGCTATGCATACTAGCACATTACTGCTAAAAGCTCCAGGGGGGCTTTTTTTCATTGGCCTTTACTTCTGCTTTAACCTGCTTTTTGGTCGCAGGTCTTCTTCTGTCCATCCCTGCAACAGTGCATGCAAAAAAAGTGCCTGCAACAGTGCATGCAAAAAAAGTGAAAATCAAATAATGTAATACCATTTATTAAACGTCTTTATGTCATATAAAACTTGCCATTCTCCACATGTTTTGTCCTATGCAGAAGTTATCAGGAGCTAACAAGACATACCCCGACCTATTTTTATATTATGCTTGTTCAGCATGATGTTTCAATAAATGGTTTTACACTATTTGATTTTATTTCATGTGTAAACTGCTTCACATACACCCAGGGCCGGATTTATTCTCCGCTGCCGCAAAGGCCAGGTTCCTCTATGCGCCCCCCCCCCTACCTGCCAATGCCCCCCCACCCCACCCACCATGGAGAATGGCAGACCTGCAGGCTGCAAACAAGTGATCTCGGTGACAACACGGTTTGCCCTGTACATTTAGCTGAGCTTGGCTAAATGTAGAAAACAACTACCCGCCCGGCGCCCAGAACTGCATGTCCGCAGGAGATAGGGATTCCACACCCCTGCTGCCCCGAGGCCGGGCCTTGGTTTGCCTTGTGGGAAATCCGGCCCTGCATACACCTTTGGAGAGGTTAACAGAAAAATAACTCACCTAGTGGCAGGTGAAAGTGAGGCTGATGCTAAACATCTCAGGTAAGCAGCCCAGGATGGCGTGT